ACACCCTTCCCCCAATTTACAAACTTTGATGGCTGATTTCTTGTTAAAAACATTGAGTGACTTTAAGATGAATGCTAAGAAGGGAAACTTCTGGGCCTGATTTCATCCTATAATTATTCCAAGTTTTCACTGTTTGTCTTAGAAGTAAGGTTCATTTTAACTTGTCTTTTTCCTCTGCTAGTTGTGACGCCCAGTGTCCCTATATCATTATAATTTAGCCAAGAAGCTGTGGACAGAGGTGGCTGGACAAAATTTCACACATTTCAGAAAGCTCTATTGAATTGCATGTGGACAGCCATAAGGAGCATTTTGAGAGCTTTTGCTTCCACTTTAGTTTAAACGTATTTTCTCATATGACCCAGAACCGACAAACTCTGGTTACAGTTAACCATAGTTATTTTCAAACATTCCCATTTCAAATCACAGTTTAAGCAAACCACAGTTAAGATTAACCACAGTTCTGGGTCCAACCAACATGGTAAGCAATAGTTAATCAAAGGCAGAAGCAAAAATGTTCTAACTTCACCTCCAGCTACATGGGAGGAGGAAGAATTTCAGCCCAAGCTTCTCATTGCTTATTGACATAACGGTAAACTATGGTTAGCATGACCTGTGTGTAGGGCAAACGACTCCCAGTTAACAATCTGTTAGTACTTAACAACATGTTCTTTGACTTAGGTACGTCCTGCTTAAAGAGCGAAACATGCTTTTAACGTTGGAGCAAGAAGCAAAACGGCAGAGGCTGCCAATGCCAAGCCCAGAGCGATTAGATAAGGTAACATGATGCCGAGGTCACTGCCAGTGTTCAAAACTCCTGTTGTCCTAGGCGCATTTTGCGACAGGGAATTTCATTAGCGCAAGCAGTTTCTGAGCTCTGGGTGCAGTACTGCGGCTAAGATTTCAGATTAAAACTACGAAGTGGAAGGAAAGAAGGACCCTTTTCTGCCTCCCCACTTCCAGCTACTCTCTGAAGACTGGAGAAGAGACCCTCTTATGAATATTAGGGGGGTGGGCAGGGGAAGGACTAGATCATGTAAAAAATGAGCATCATATTTTAGTTGCAGCTCATTCATTTTAAGCTTTGTATACTCGTTATATAAAAAAGTGTTCCTAGACATTCTGTTGCTGCACCCATAACCTAGGTTTAAGGTGCCATTTAGCTCCTAGCTTTCATATCTCAGTTTCTAACCTGGACATGGGCAACCCTGTGTTCTTTGTAAAGGAGGCAGCATTTGCAGTTCTTCCAAAAACTGTTTACAGTTTTTACCTACATTTATGTAGGAGTCAAATAAGATGAAGCAAGTCTTTAAACTTTCCCTAATTCTATTAGGCTCCTTAAACTCTTGATTTGCCCTCACCCTCCTTGTATTTTGTCACCAGCCCTGGCTGTGTGAGCCCTGGCAGCGAGGGAGGGGGTGCAGGATTCTGAAGCAGTTTCCAGCTGAATTATTTTCTGGTGCCAGCGCACATAGTAAAATGAAATAAGTCTGTAAGTAAGGGATACGAGTCACAGAAAGCCTGGTTGTAGTTTCTGGTGAAGAGGTTCCACCCAACAGCAGTGCTGCCCAGCGACAGTGTAGTTATGGTTCAGGTTGTTAAAGCGCAATCCATTGGCAAGTTCTTGGCGCAGACTCCAAGGAAAGGGATTTCTATATATTTCATAGTTCTCGTTCCAATGGGCCTTTCACAAACAGATTTCCCAGCAAAGTGTGGTTTAGTTTGTAGGGACAATCAAAACCTGTTACAGTGGTACCTCAGGTTACATACGCTTCAGGTTACATACACTTCGGGTTACAGACTCTGCTAACCCAGAAATAGTGCTTCAGGTTAAGAACTTTGCTTCAGGATGAGAACAGAAATCATGCTCCGGTGGCGTGGCAGCAGTAGGAGGCCCCATTAGCTAAAGTGGTGCTTCAGGTTAAGTACTGTTTCAGGTTAAGTACGGACCTCCAGAACGAATTAAGTACTTAACCCGAGGTACCACTGTATAAGACTGCTAAGCCCATGCACATTCTACAACAGAATGCCTTCCATGTTTTGGACTACGACTCCCATCAGCCATGACAGCTGTGCTGACTGGGGTTGATGGGAGATGCAAAACATCAGGAGAGCACCAGCTTGGAAAAAGCTAGTGTCTGGAGTTCCCCTGGGCTCAGGCTCTTTCACGTGGATTGGTGGCTTTGGAGCTGAAACTCTCTTTTTGTGGTCTTCAGGTGAAAGATTCCATGGATAGAATGGACCTTGTCATCCAGGAAAGGGAAGACGCTTTGCGGCTCTTACAGACTGGCCAGGAGAAAGAGAGACCAGGCGAATGGAGACATGACTTCTTGGGCCGCGTATTTTGGTACAACGAAGAATCATTGGTGTTTATCGAGCAGCATTTGTGTAGCGGGGAGAGCAAATACCAAGCGTGGCTCCGTGTAGAGCAGACACTTTGTACAACATTCCACCTTCAATCCTTGGCCTCTCCAGCTTTTGAGCTAGCAGAGTTAGGAAAGACTTCTACCTGAGACCTCAGGGAACCACTGCCAGTCCGAATAGACAGTGCCACTGGGACATGCAAGGAAACGCTAAACAATGTGGAATGTTCCTTTTCAGTGTCAGTCACCCGACATTTTTTTTCTAATCCCTCTGCCAGCAGATTTAAAAATATTTTTTCCAAACATCCAATTAGCATTCAGTGGCCAGTGAGCATGCTTAATCCTCACTGGGTTTTGAGTTGGGGAGGGGAGGCTTGTTTCCTTCCCTTTAGTTTTTCTTTTCCCCCTAAAGTTTTTTTTTTGTACTTCTATAAGCCTGGTACTGGGAGCAACTCAAGACATTTTTCTGCCTGAGGCAAAGGACAAAAGAGATGGTGCCCCGCATCCCATGAGCAGATGCCAACTGGATTGGCAGTTGAATCTTACCTCCACACTGGGACAGCATCCTTCATCACACCTGAGGGCAGCAGGCTAGCTTTTAAGGGCAGACTTCATAGGATACCCAGTAATTGCCCGACTCTGCCTAATGGTAGGGTCGGCCCTGCTCATGCTGCTGCCTTGTGTGTAGTTGCTGCCTCTTTGACCACATAAGAATCCTACTTTAGAAATAAGAGGGTATGAGGACTGGGCTGGATGGACCAATGACGTGATGTAGTGCAAGGCAGTTTCATATATTCAAGCAAAACGTATTGTGGAAAGAACTCCCCGTTTAAGTTAAGAGCGAACAAAAAAAAGTCTCTTCTACCATTTGACGTTCTTAGCTTTCTGGCACATTTTCTCTGTAAGCTATTCAGAGCGGGAGGGAACTTTCAATGTATGGGGTGGAGCCTTCCATTATGTGCTTTGCAAGCAGGTGAGGGCTGCCTTTCATGTACAGCCAGTTCAGTTTCTAAAGGGCAGTGGAGGCTTGGGAAGACTAGTTATCACTTTGGCTTTCCTTAGTGAAAGTGGTGGCAAGGAGGGGGGAGTGCTGCTACTACCCTAAAATAATTAACCTACCATTCTGCCTTTATCATCTGAAACCACCAAATAATTTGCTAAGATAAGAACTGGTCAGGGCAGATCAGCTACTGACGGTGAACTAGGGACTGATGCTTGTATGTGCGCTTTGATGTGTTTTAGCTAAAAATAGGCTCTAAAATGTTGTGTAATGTATCCTGAGGTTTTGGGGTGGGAAGAGGCGGCTAGACATAATTATGAGCTTTTCAAAAGAATCTCATCTCACACATTCCCCTCGTCTGTCATTGGCAGGTACACTTTTAGGGAATGGCCAATCCCTTGGTACCTAAATGCAAAGCATAAGAGAAAGCGGTTCTACTATTTGCCAAATGTCAATCGTTTTAACAGGTAAGACCAGCAGCCTTTAAAACCAGACCCTTTTATATGTCCTCTTACCATTTGTCCTCCTTTGCTGATTGTCTGGGAGAGCTACGAGATCGCCTTGCGCTACATGTGCCTGCTCGACCACTGCGATCGGCAGAATCGGCACCACTGCAGGTGTCACACAGGTGTCTGTGTTTGTAAGAACGTGTTTAGTGTGGCAGCGGCTGTACTTTGGAACTCCCTACCTGTTGAGCTCAAGCAGACGCCTTCACTGTGTTCTCTTGGGCACCTGCTAAAAACATTGTTGTATATACATTGTTGTATATAATTGTGAATAAAACAAACAACTTATACGCTAACTTACACTGGTTGGTTTTCTCCTGCAGACTCAGACTTGAACAATATTTGCGCAATGAATCAAAGAAGAGGAATATGCAGAAGCAGAGAGAGAAGCGTTTAAAGAAACAATTCCCTCATCTTGGTGCTCAGTCTGAAAGTCAACGTGAAGTTGGCAGTGTTTGATGGAATTGTGGCACAAACATTCCTCCTGAACTGCTTGTAAATGGACAAAGAGTAAGGCAAAACATACCATGTGATGTAAAACAAGCTCATTTCCGCTGCTACCAAAATAAAGTTGTTTCATCCTTCTTGTAAAATATTTGTCCTTTCATAGACTTGTTTGTCAACAACCATTTAATTAACTGTTTTCTATGTCATGGCACATAGTTTGTAGTTGCAGTCACAAAGAAACAGGTGTGCTCTAATTAAAATCCAGATTGGCTTTTGTAAAAACCAGTTTCTAGTCCTCATGTTGAGTTTATTTAGCAATTATACTTAAAAGACAGGAAGGTTTCGGGGGTCATGCAGAGCTCTCTGGCCCATGAGATGATCAAAAGTTGCATAAATATGCACGATTTATGCAGCTGGGCTGGATTTGGTTCAGGTCTGTTAATATTAACCCCAGTTTATGATGCAAGTAGCATGGGCACCAGGGAAGCAAAAAGTTAAATGATTCCTGTATCAAGGACCATCCCTCCAACTCACACAAATAGAACAATACTACTGCAGATCTAGCAAACAGTAGTATTAAAGGCAGGGACTAGTTCAACCAAGAACTTGAGTACCATCCATTCTCCCCTCATTTAATGAGTTGTGTGAATGTAAAACAGAATTTCTCTGAAACAAACACAAAGGGACTCTAAGACAAACTAGAGGAATTTATTAAGGCCAACGTAACAAGGAAGACTAGTCTGAAAGTAGACACATTTCTCAGAAAGGCAGGAGATTACATCCACAGTTTATAGCTTTGTTTCCAGTGGGGGGACGGGAATTTTGCAGAAAATATATATCTATACAAAAATTATAAAAAGAGTTTGTATAAGAGTTATTGCATTTACAAGGATGCGGGCATCCATCTGCTGTGACAGAATAATGTTGGCCTTTTAAAATACCTATGGTTTGTTAAAAATGGGAGATTGCAGAATGCACAAAAAAGTATACATTTCCTACAAAAGAGACACAAAACTTTGGATTCCTGAGTATGCTAAAGCTATCCAATATTAGAAGCGCTGGGGAAGGCAGCTGTCTTTTTTAATAATAAAAAAACCAGGTTTTTATGGGCATTTTCTTTCTACACATTGCTTCCCTCCTTCTTCGTATTCTTGCTTGGAGATCCACATCTGCTGGAAGGTCCCCTGCAAGAGACAAAACCAAAGATGGTAGCCTTTTCTTCGAAAGGATAGTGCAGAGAATGAAACGGAAACCATAATGACAGGAAGCTGAAAAGAGCTACAGTGGTGCCTCGCAAGACGAAATTAATTCGTTCCGCGAGTTTTATCGTCTTGCAATTCTTTTCGTCTTGCGAAGCACGGTGTCGGAAAAGTTTTGGAAAAGCTTCAAAAATCACCAAAGTCTTCAAAAACCTCAAAAAAGGCTACCACACCGCGTGCTATGAGTTGCTCCTCGAAGTCAAGTCGCAACTGTATTAACGGTGTTAAGAAAAAGGAAACAAACTTGCAAGACGTTTCCGTCTTGCGAAGCAAGCCCATAGGGAAAATCGTCTTGCGAAGCAGCTCAAAAAACAAAAAACCCTTTCGTCTTGCGAGTTTTCCGTCTTGCGAGGCATTTGTCTTGCGAGGTACCACTGTATTGTTCTCATGTTGGGCTTGTGGTACTCTTAGGTGTTCAGCTGGCCAGCTGGAGTCCCACAATATCCACAGGGAACCACATTGGTTGTCACTGCTCTAAAAACAACAAGCAAGGAGAAACAAGGCAGTTCAGGTCTGATCTTGTTCCTCAAGGCGGCGTTTTGAAATAATAATCGTGCCTATAGTAGTTTCCAATGGGGAAATTGCTTTACCACACACACACACACACACACACACACACACACGGCATCAGATTTCTCCCCATTAGCAATCTCTCCCCACTGGTGTTAAGTCTCACCCAAATCTTCTTGGGTAACATTTTTGAGCAGCGCTGCTTCCCCACCAATCAAGCCTTATCGATCTACTAACCAAAGAAGCCAAAATGGATCCACCAATCCAGGAACTAAACCTTCGCTCTACTGTTGTATTGTTCGCTATCAACTTCAGTCGCATGCTCTGAAATCAAAAGAGAAAAAAATATTTATTGTCATTTTAAATTGGCCCAGATCCAAAGGGCTACCTGAGGAATGCTCAAGCTACAGGCTTGTATATGCCTAGAAGCATTATCTTTCTCTTTGAACTGGTAGCAGTTCACCGGTCTCGTGTTTGGCAGGAGCACTGCTCCAATAGCCAAATACCTGCACACATTTAAGAAGTACAAGGAAAACGTTCACTGTTTGGTAGCCACTCACCGGAGGTGTTTTCTGAGACAGTTCTCTATTTAGTCTGTCTGTAAAGCTCTGTAGTAGGGTGTTCCCTCCTGCTACAATCACACTCCCATAGAGACCCTGGAGAACAAAGGCAGAACTCATTATAATGGTATTTTTTCCTCTGTTGCCCTTCGCAACACAGAAAGAAAGAAAGAAACAAGTCACAACTTCACTCTGCTGATAAAACAGTATAAGAAAAAATAGCATGCTTAAGACCTGTGAGTGGTTCCAGTGCAGAAGACACAAGAAATGAACTTTCCCACTAGGTAAATTCTTCAAAGCTACATAGGAAGTCTGGATAATTCCATACTAAAACCCACAGTTTGGCAGACGGGAATACCTAATTCACCAGAAGCATGAGAAATGAATCTAGCATGGACAACGTTAATATCTATTCATGGACTTTCTACATTTGCTCATTCTTCTGGGCAAGCTGCTGACAGAGGTGGTGAAGATGACTGGGGGACAAAGCAACAATACAGAATGTGGGTATGCAGGGAATCAAGCTGTGTTGGACCATGAAGATGGCAACCCCAGCCCTGTTTTGTTTCTGCCATTTCATGGAAAACGGCACTACAGGGAATCCTAGCTTCACATTTTACATTGTGGTCTTAGGCGCTCTTACTCAAAAGCATATCTTATCTGTTGCAATGGGATTGAGTTGCAATATACAGGGCTGCAATCCTCAAGAGAACAGGATCAGCCTGACCACCTGAGACATAGGAGGGCCACCTCCTTGCCCATGAACCTACACACACGTTTAGATCATCAGAAGCCCTGCTCCATATCCTACCAGCTGGCAGAGTTATGGCCTGGGGCAGGGCCTTTCAGTAGTGGCAACCACAGGGCAGAGTAGTCTGCCCATTAGTCATTGCCTTTAGATGTCAGGTCAGAATGCCTGGGTGGTAACTAACCATCTGCCTGGGTTTGCTGCTTCTCTTTTTGAATGTTGTCGATTGGGATTTTGTTCATTTTCAGGTCCATTTAAATGTAGTAATTGATTGCTAGGGTTGCATGGATGGAAAGGTAGGGTAAATAATTTCAAAACTACCAGAAACACAGACTTTGGCTCAGTGGTTAGAGCATATGTCTTGCACACAGCAGAACCTGGGTCCAAGCCCTGGTACCTTCCCTTTAAAAGGTTCCGGTTATCTTCCTGGTCAGATGATAAACAAGCTCGGGCCACCTGGACAAATAGCCTGACATGGTATAAGGCAGAGTTCTACATTCTTAATGTATTATCAACACACACCAGCTAACATTTATGCAGTGTTTTAGAGGACATGCAAAGCACTTCAACATTATCTTACATCAAGTCAGTGCGACCACCACTGCCTTGCAGATGGGAAGGGCTGAGACTGAAAGAGCAGTAGCTCCCCTAAGGTGACAAAGCAAGTTTGTTGCCAAGGCAAGACATTACACCAGCTCTCCCTTGAAGAATGCAAGCAGGCTTTTAACAGCATTGTGTGGAGCAGATCACTATTCAGGGCACTTTGAATTTTAGCTAAGGAAAAGGAATCACTCCCTGGTCTATTTTCTATTAAACCACCATGCCTAACTAATACCTACTGGCCTGATGTCGATATCACACATCCCGACACTTGTAGTGACCACATGGCTCACGCCAAGCATTGTGTTGCCAGATAAACCCTGGAGAGGGAAGAAAAAAATGGCAAGTTAATGCTATTATACTAGACTCAAACTGATAACAGTGTGATAGAATATGCCCTGTATAAATTTTTTTCAGCCCCATAGACAGGAGGTACATTGGTTGAGGAGGGGGCTGTAGCTCTTGGGAATCCTCGCCTGGCCATATCTTCTCAGTGTGTGAAAGTTTGCCCATTTTTTAAAAAAATAGCACAAAGCCCATGAAATCTCTTGCACAAGCAGTGGGGAGAAGAAACTGTTGCAAAATCAGAAAATGCTGTTGAGGAGTCCCAAATACTGTTAGTGTGTACCTTACTGCCCATTCACCGAAATTGTTATAATAAAATCTTTCTTCCCAGCTTCTTCTCCAGTTTAGAACTGCTACTAAACTTATTTCCTTTCAACAGGTAAGTCCCAGTCTGCTAACAATGGATTTTATCAGAGGGCAAGTCATAATGGTCTTGCATGTGGGTATTTCTGGGAAAGAGAAAGTCTTCATCATGGCTGACTTAACCATTTTATCTTGTGTATTCCATTTCAGCAGCAGGTTATACATTCTTGACAAATTCTTAGTATTGGGTTCTAACAATTCTGTTTCTAATTTTGACCTCTCCATCTGAAAGCCAACTTTCCTGTCTTGTTTAAACACCTCCATTACTTGATGATAATGAAGCCAATCTCGTACTTTAGACTTTAATTTCTCATAGCTCTGTAGTTTAACTTTTTCACCATCTTGCTCTAAAATTTCACAATATTTTGGCCATTTAGATTCCATATTAAGTTTTTTCACCTCCTTAGCTTCCATTGGTGACAACCACCTAGGAGTTTTATTTTCCAATAAATCTTTATAACGGATCCAGACATTGTATAGTGCTTTCCTGACAATATGGTTTTTAAATCCTTTATGAGTTTTTACCTTGTCATACCATAGATATGCATGCCAACCAAATCTATTGTTAAACCCTTCCAAATCCAAAATGTCCGTGTTCTCAAGAAGTAGCCAATCTTTCAACCAGCAGAAAGCTGCCGATTCATAATACAGTCTTAAGTCCGGCAGGGCAAACCCCCCTCTGTCTTTTGCATCAGTTAATATCTTAAATTTTATTCTGGGCTTTTTGCCCTGCCAGACAAATTTTGATATGTCTTTCTGCCACTTCCTGAAACAGTCCATTTTGTCCACAACCTGTAATGTCTGAAACAGAAATAACATTCTAGGCAATACATTCATCTTAATGACAGCAATTCGGCCTAACAAGGAAAGTCTCAAACTTGACCATATTTCTAGATCTTTCTTTACTTCTGTCCAACATTTGTCATAGTTATCTTTAAATAAGTTCACGTTCTTAGATGTCAGGTTAATCCCCAAATATTTCACTTTCTTTGCCACCATTAATCCTGTTTCACTCTGAAACCTCTCTTTTTCACCATTTGTTAGATTTTTCTCCAAAACCTTAGTTTTTTTGCTTGTTCAACTTAAATCCTGCTACTTGACCAAATACCTGAATTAATTCTAAGACTCTTTTCGTACTAGTGTCTGGCTGTTGCAAAGTCAATACTAGGTCATCTGCAAAAGCCCTCAATTTATATTGTTTGGCTCCGACCTGAACTCCTTTAACCAGCTGGTCCCCTCTGATCATATTTAACAAAACCTCCAAGACAGATATAAAAAGCAATGGGGATATTGGGCACCCCTGTCGTGTTCCTTTTCTATAGGAAATTCTTCAGTAACCACGTTATTTACAATTAATTTTGCTTTCTGTTCCGAGTATATTGCACCTATACCATTTTCAAAACCTTGGCCTACCCTCATCCCTTGGAGATTCTTCTTCATAAAACTCCAGGAAATATTGTCAAAGGCTTTCTCCGCGTCCACAAAAATTAAAACAGCTTTCGTATTAATATTTGCTTCTAACAGTTCCATAATGTCTATTATATTTCTCACATTGTCTAACAAATGTCTCCCTGGAAGAAAGCCAGCCTGGTCCTTATGAATCTCACCCACCAACACTCTCTTCAGTCTTTTTGCTAAAATGTCTGCAAAAATTTTGTAATCCACATTTAGTAGTGATATAGGGCGGTAGTTCCTAATCTGGTTCTTTTCAGTCTCAGTTTTTGGTATAAGTGTAATAAACGCTTCTTTCCATGATTCAGGCGCCTTTTTCCCCTCCATAATTTCATTACAGACCTCCTTCAACGGTTGTACCAACCATTCCTTCAAAGCCTTGTAATATCTGGAAGTCAGTCCATCTGGTCCTGGAGATTTTCCCAATTGCATATTCTGAATGGCACCCTCTATTTCTTGTTCTGTTATTTTCTCATTCAAAATCATTTTACTTTGTTGTGAGATCTTTTGTAATCCATATTTCTTAAGAAATTCATCTATTTCTCCTTCGTTCACCGGCCCTTGTGCATACAGTCTTCTGAAATAACTCTGGAAACAGTTACTGATCTCATTTGGCTTGTAAATATTCCTTCCTTCCACCTCTAAACTTGTAACCGTATTCAATTTTTGTCTTTTCTTCAACTGCCATGCAAGAAGTTTCCCACATTTGTCTGCTGATTCAAATGTCCTTTGTCTCATTTGTTTAATTTTCCATTCTATCTCTTGATTCATCAATTCCATATACTGCATCTGATAATACTTAATTTCTCTCAAAATCTCATGTGACTTTGGTTTGGACCTCAATTTCTTTTCTCCTTCTTTTATCTTTTCCAAAATCTTATCTTTCTTCTCATTTTCTTTCTTCCTCTTTATAGAATTCTGTTGTATTAGGAAACCTCGCATCACGGCTTTGCTTGCGTCCCAAATTACTCTTTTCTCCACCTCTGTTCTCAGATTTATCTCAAAATAGTCTTTCAAAGTTTTTTGGGCCTTTTTGTAGATCTCTTCATCTCTAAATAGGGTGTCATTCATTCTCCATCTGAAGGAACCAGCTGTTGTTAGTTTCATCTCCATCTTTACAGCGTTATGGTCGGAGCAAGTCTTTGGGCAGATTTCTACTTTTTTATCTTTGAAGCCATCCCACTAGTAACCCAAATTTGGTCGATTCTTGTCCATGTCATTTTTGCTTCAGAGAAAAAAGTTCCCTCTCCTCAAGAGGGTTCCTTGTTCTCCAAATATCAATTAGGTCCATATTTTCAGTCATCTCAAAGAATGTCTTTGGTAGTCTCCCATCCTTAGAAACCACCTGTCTTTGTGCCTTGTCCATATTTGTAGAAACAACGCCATTCATATCTCCCATCATAATTACATTGTAATCCAGGTAGTCCATTAAAATCTCATGCAATTTCTTGAAAAATTTCTGCCTTCCCTTCATTTGGTGCGTAAATTCCAACTATCAACAGTTTTTCTCCTTGGACTTGTATTTCAATTGCCAGAAATCTTCCTTGCTCATCTTTAAAGATCATCTTTGGAGCCAACTTTTCCTTTGCATAAATCACTACTCCTCTCTTCTTAACTTTGTCCGATGAAATAAATTCCTGTCCAAGTCTTTTGTTGATAAGTAATTTTCTATGTATTCTGGTCACATGGGTTTTCTTGTAAACATATCAATCCAATTGTTCTCTTTTCAAAATATGGAATACTTCATGTCTTTTTCTGGGAAGGTTTAGACCAGTGTTTCCCAACCTTGTGCCTCCAGCTGTTTTTGAACTACAATTCCCATCATCCCTTGCCACTGGTCTTGCTAGTCAGGGATGATGGGAGTTGTAGTTCAAAAACAGCTGGAGGCACAAGGTTGGGAAACACTGGTTTAGACCATTACAATCCAGCTTAGAAATTGCAGAGCCATCTTGTTGTTTATTTACTTTCTCCTCCAACTGCTCCAAGTTGTTGTTCCTCCTCCGTCCGGTGGTTTAAGTCCAAATGTTAAGTTCTGGATATCTGCTGCTTCTTTTGCCACTGGGGTTGATTCCAGTTCCACCACCCCCTTCAGGAGGTCTTCCTCATTTTTTTCCAAAAATCGTTCTTTGTCTTGTACTGTTCTTATTTTAACTTTTTTTCCTTTGTAGTTAAAAGACAAACCTTGTGGGAATTCCCACCTGAAGGGTAAATTGTTCTTTTCTCAGCAGATAAACCAAATCCTTGTAGTGTGCTCTTACCTCCAATAAATATTTAGGAATATCCCGGAAAATCTCCACAAAAGAATCTTCAATCTCTAAAGATTTTCTAAAATGCAGATTTAAAATTTTGTCTCTTTCCTCTTTGGATCTAAATGTTATTATGCAGTCCCTTGGTTTCTTTGAACTTTGTCTTCTACCCAGTCTGAAGGCTGAGACTATCTTAAATTCTTCCTCCTCTGGATTCAGCTGCCAAAACTCCAAAATTTCTTTTGTAAGAAAGTCCACCAGATTATCCTTTTCACTCTCAGGCACAAGTCTCAGCCTCAGATTTCTCTCCTTCCGTTGCAGATCAAGCATAGACAGAGCCAATTCATGTTCATCCAACTTTTTACAGACTGGTAATAAATTTTCCTGAGTGGATTCTGCAATAACTTTAGCTTCCTCGGCAATCTTAAGGCAATGACATTGGTCATGACATTATGTTTGCTGACTGGGAACAGTTATGGACCACCAGTATAAAGTTTACGGCATGCAATGCCTTAAGAGAGAATATTATGAAAATGATTTACAGGTGGTACATGACTCCAGTCAAGCTTGCAAAAATCTATCACTTGCCCAATAATAAATGCTGGAAATGTAATGAGACTGAAGGAACTTTCTACCACCTTTGGTGGACATGCCTGAGGATTAAGGCCTTCTGGGAAATGATTTATAATGAAATTAAGAAGGTCCTTAAATGTACCTTTCATAAGAAGCCAGAAGCTTTTCTCCTGGGCATGGTCGGCCAATTGGTGTCAAGAAAAGATAGGACGTTTTTTATGTATGCTACCACAGCAGCAAGGATTCTTTTAGCAAAGTATTGGAAGACACAAGAACTACCCACGCTGGAAGAATGGCAGACGAAAGTGATTGACTATATGGGATTGGCGGAGATGACCGGCAGAATCCGAGACCAAGGAAAAGAGAA